GCTGTCGCTGCACGTGGACCTGGGGCCCTCCATCCTCGAGGACGTGCTGCAGGTGATGGAGCGGCACTGCGCCGAGCGCGGCCGGCCGGAGATCCCCACGTGAGGGAAACGGCGAGGATGAGGAAGGATCCCGGTTCGGATTCCCGCGTTTCCGACGGCGGGCGAGGGTTCGGCCTCTCCGAGCTCTCCCAGGCGGGATGAATTCCCGAGGATCCCCCAACGGGAGGATTTGGGGGGACGGCGGCGTTTCTTCTCTCGGCTTCCGTTGGACCCTTTGGAAACGCCGCAAACGGGGAAATTCCCGCCGGGAAATCTCCGGTTCTCCGCGGAGAAGACAAAACTCGGCGTGGAGGAGCTCGGGATCCCGGTGGGAGCTTCAGGAACTCAATCCATGGAGGGGCCAAAAATCCCCTCGGGGGGAATCGGGGGCGAAGGGAGCGGGGCCGGGCTGGAAATCACCAAAGGGACCCAAAAAATCACCAAAGGGACCCAAAAAATCATCGAAGGGACACAAAAAAATCATCGAAGGGACCCAAAAAAATCACCAAAGGGACCCAAAAAAATCACCAAAGGGACCCAAAAAAATCACCAAAGGGACATAAAAAATCATCAAAGGGACACAAAAAATTACCAAAGGGACATAAAAACAAAAAATTACCAAAGGGACATAAAAAATCATTGAAGGGACCCAAAAAATCATTGAAGGGACCCAAAAAATCACCAAAAAGACACAAAAAATCACCAAAGGGACCCCAAACCAACCCAAACTCCCACGGAGAGGCGCGGCTGGATCCCGGCGCTGCAGCGGATCCGTCACGGATCGTTCGGCCGGAGCGGGGTGGAAGGGGAAGGAGGGAATGGCGAGGGGAATTCCCGCTGGATTTTAGGGAATGTGGACAAAATCCCCACTGGAAACGCCGCTGGTGCCGCCGGGACTCGGGGACGGGGTGGGGGCAGCGCTGATCCAGGCTCTTCCCAAGAATTCCAGCCGATTCCTGGGAGTCGGAGCCCGGAGCCGCGGCCCCTCCTGACCCCACCTTCCCCTTCCTCGTTGCCTAACGAGTCTAATTTAGATTATCTGTCTAATGACTCATTAGATTCTCGTTAACGAACCCTCGTCCCGCCTCTTCCTTCCCCTCCCCCTCCACGTCCCGAAACACTTTTGGTGAAAACGCCCAGGATTTGGGGATAAATCGATTTCCCGAGGTTTTCATCTGTAAAATAATTAACAAACCCAGGTTAATTAGGCTCGATCAGCCCCGGGTTTAATTTCTCTTTGCTCCAACTCCTCCCTGCTCTAGACTCTTTTCTCCCCCCATGCTCTGTCCACTTTTTATTTATTTTGGGGTTTTTCCTCCCCAAACCAATTCCAGCGCCGGGACGGAGCCGTTTCAGAGCCTCCTTTGAGATTAATTGTCATTAATTGCGATTAATTAAGCCCAGGGATGAGGGATTTTGATGGGAACGTGGCTCTGAGTCCCCTCCTGTCCCAGGAACAGCCTGAAGGGAAACCAGCCCGGTTTGTTCACCCCAATTTTCCTGGATTTCACCCAAATCAGTGATTTAAAGACAGAGCTGTTTGTGCCCCGCCTCAGCCCAGGAATTGCGAAACTGCAGGATTTCTAAATCACCAAAATCAGCCAAAATTCCAGGTTTTCCCCCCAGTTTTTTACCTTTTCTCCCCCAGTTTTTTCCCTTCCTCAAGCTAGGGCTGGATTTTGGGGTGTTCCAGGTTTAATTTGGGACTTTTTTCATTCATTTCTCCCCCCACTCATCCCCTTCTGCTCCAGTCCTGGAAAAACTCTTTTAATTTGACAGATTTTGGGGAGATTTTACCATGAAAAGGTGATTTTCCTTTTGTCACCCCTCTCCTCCTTCCTCTCTTCCCTCCCTCCCGCACCACTCAGACCTCACTCGAAATCATCCCCAAAATTATCGTTATTATCCCTGAAATTACCCCCAGAATTATCCCAAATATCACTTTATCCCTGAAATGTTTTTTTCCTCAATCCAATCTGCAAAAAACCCCAAAAACCCAAATTCCTTCATTAATTTTTAATCACCAATAAATAATTTGGGATCCCTTTCCACAGGACTGGAGCCTCCTTCACTTCTCCCCTAATTAATCCCTCCCCCAATTAATGATTTACTCCCGATTCCAGGAATTTGAGTCATCCGGAGCAGCCATGGCTCGGCTCCCACTCCCCTCCTTCCCCCTCTCCTTTTGGGGAGTTGATTCCGGAATCAATCAAGGATGGAATCGTTAATTAACCCCAGCAGGAGCTCCCTCCCCGGTTCCTCGTTAGCCCGGGATTTCCGGGCCGTGGATTATCGCCCACGCCAGCGGTCGGCGTCGGAGCGCCCGGCACGGCCGGAGCCGGGAACGGAGCCGTGGGATGAGCGCCAGGAACAGCCGGCCTGGGATTAGGAGGAGGAGGAGGAGGGAGGGAGGGAGGAAGGTTTGACCAGGGGGTGACCTTGGCGGGAAAAAAGGCAAATTCCCAGCAAAGAGGGAAAAAAAACCACATGTGGGATATGGAAGTAAGGAGGAAAAATAAAAGGAATTCAGCTGGGAGTGAGGAATTCACCTGTGAGGAACTCACCTGGGAGTGAGGAATTCACCTGGGAGTGAGGAATTCACCTGGGAATAAGGAATTCACCTGTGAGTGAGGAATTCACATGGGAATGAGGAACTCACCTGGAAGCTGATGTCCAACCACGCTCGCTGTGGGATCTGTGGGTGATCTCTGTCCTGGGGGATGAATTTGGGGTTAATTCCGGTTTGATGAAAAGGGAAAAGAGCTCAAAAACGGGAATTTTTGGCAGGAATTTTTTGGGGATGAACAGGCTTCAGGAGTGGCTGGGTTTGGTTGAGATCGTGAACAGAGGGAACCTGGGGAGATTTGGGATCTGAGGGATCCACCCTCATTTATCCCTTATTCCATCTTCTCCTGGCCCTCATTTATCCCTCATTTCATTCCCTTTCCCTGCAATTTATCCATCATTTCCCACCCAACCCTCACCCCTTTTTTCTGTTTTACCCCCCCCAAACCTCCTCCATCCTTTCCCGCTGTTCTCACACCTTTCCCAATTTCCCTTCCCATTCTCCCTCTTCTCACCCCTTTCCATGGAAAGGTTGAGGTTGGAAAAGCCCTTCGGGATCATCAAATCCCCGAACCGTGTCCCCACGTGCCACATCCAGGTTATTTTTGGGATAATTCCAGGACAGCAGTGCCCGTGCCAGGGCAGGACAACCCTTTTCATGAAGGAATTTTCCTGCATAAACCTTCCCTGCTGCACCTCGAGGCTGTTTCGTCTTGTTTTATCCATTGGGAGAAGGGATCTCCCCCCCAGCCTCATTCCAACTCTTTCCAGGGAATTGTAGGGAGCAATGGGATCTCTAAAACCTCCTTTTTCCAGGATAAACCCCCTCATGCTCTGCCATCGTTTTCCCCTTCACTTTCCGGCCATTTCTCCCTCACTCTCCCGCCTTGCTCTCTCCCATTTTTTCCCTCATTCTCCCCTCATCTTGTCGCTCCTTCTCCCACCATTTTCCCCCTCAGCCTCCCCCCTCCATCTCCCCCTGATTTTCCCCCCATATCCCCCACTCTGCCTCCCT